AAATGTATATTCATGTACTCCTGCCAGAAGAATGAGGTGGTTGACTTGGGTGTATGAAATAAGTTTCCCCTGCTTACTAATGGGAGTACCTTCAGATACTGATGGCAAATGTCTTTAAAGCAAGACTTGTTTCTGTGATTACAGTGGCCACGATTTTCCTCACTTTGGATTGGGAGAATGTTAATTAATTAATCCTTAATCTGCTGCTCTCTGGAAATTTCAGGGATCAAAGCTACTTGTCAACCTGCTGTGGATTTCCAAACTGGATTTTGGATTTTCTTCCACAGATCAGAGGGCAATTTATGTAAATTCTCACACATAACATGGTTGCCATGAACAGATGGGGAGGGGAGGAGAAGGGGAATCTGATCACCTCTCTTGTGGCAGTAGGCAGTTTGGCCTGTGGTAACAATGCCTCTGGAACAAAGGGTTCTCTGTGCTCCGCATCTGGTAGGCACATAGCCAAAAGCACTCTAGCAGTAATGGTCATTCAGGTCTTCTGGGGTTCATCTGATATTTGCCAGGTGCCTGTGTGAGAGTGGGCAAGGACACCTGGACGGGCCGTTCCGCTCTCCTGTGGCATGGAGCAGGTTCTGTCCCCTTGGCCAAGTCTCATTCCCAGAGTTCTGAGAGTGGGTCTGCAGAGCAGGGTAAGAAGGACACAGCACACCTGTTCCCTGGAGCCAGGCTCTCTGGCCATGCATCTTCCCCCCTGGAATTGGCCTGTCCTGTTTGTGCAGCTGGGAGAACCTCACAGGGTTGTTGATGCTGTCTGTCTCTTGACAGGATGGCCGAGTGGTTTCTAGATAGTTTGGTTTCTATATTCCATATGGAAGCTGTCTCAACAGTTACTATTTTTCTGCCTGATTTTACTACAAATACATTGCTGTGATTCCTTCTAGGACGAGCTCAGACATTTTATTTGCAGTTCAGGTGGAAGGTCTATCTCCACAAGCCCTTTGCTTGAATATTTACAACTTTCAGAATCTACCTTTGTGAAAGTGCATCCAGTGTTTCCTATTAAACTGGTATTGGAAATTATTATTTTTTTAAATCTGCATGAGGATGTCATTGGGCTCCCCCACAGCAGATAACTAGGAATGAAACAGGAAAATGGAAAGATTTTAAAGTGGGACTAAACCTCTGAAAACCCTCAGGGTATTTTGGCCAAGGCTGAATGGATCATTTGTGATTATGGCACTTTTAAGTGAGAGGTGCTGAAGTTTCAGTTGTGGTATCCTCATCTCAGAAAATGCTTTTTCAGACAGACTTATTTGGAGTTATTTGGGTCTAGTACTACTTCTGGAATTGCACTGGGACTGTGTGAAAAGGAACTGTTGAGGATGCTCTTTTAAAGCATTTCTTAGGGGGACTTAACCTCTGGGGAAGGGACTTTCTTTGAGTGAACTCTGTTCACTCTTCCAAGTGGCTTCAGTTTTTTAGCACCTGGCAGGACAAAACTTGCTCCTCTTTCCTCCTGCCTGTCCAGGAAAGGCATGGGAACACTTGGGACCTAGAGAGGAGAGAGCCGAGAGCACCAAGGCATCCTGTCCTGATTCCTCAAGCTCAAAGTGCCAGGGTCCCAGGGGTGATTTTCAGTCAGTTGTTGAGAATCCAGTGGCAAGCTCACTTTGGATCTTGGCTTCAGGGGGAGATGATGCTCTGCTTCTGAGGACAGGGGAATCCAGGCTGCTGGATGGCTTTGGTATGAAGGTTTGTACATAACCCTCAGGCCACAAGCCTGAGTGTGTCTCAGATTTGCCACCACTTCAGGTCTTGAAATTAGGATAGATGCTTTTGAAAAATACATTTTAACCCAGACAGAAAGTATGCAAAAAAGTCACTCGTCTTTTTTTGCTTCTTGTTTAGGGGAGGCATAGGAACACTTAGGACCTAGAAAGCAGGGAGCACCAATCATCCTGTCTTGATTCCTCTAGCTCAAGGCACCAGGTTCCTGGGGGTGATCATTTACATGGGCATGTCGTGACACGACAAGAGGGAACGGCTTAAAACTGGGAGAGAAGGTTTATACTGGATCTTGGGATAAAGTTCTCTGTGAGGCTGGCGAGGCACGGTTTGCCCAGAGAACCTGCGGCTGCCCCAACTAGGGGTAGGTTCAAGGCCGGGTCGGACGGCCAAGCTGGTGGAAGGTGGAGGTGATGAATCCCTCGGGAATGCCGATTCGCCTGTGCTGGGGTGCCGGAGGCCCCCGTTGGGTGCCCTCCCGCAGCCCATCACAGGCCGCGGGCACGGAGCGCTGCGGGGCGGCTTTGTGAGCCGCTAATCCGGGCCCCAGCTGCCATGGCGGCCGCGTTGCCATCGCGACGGCCCCGCCGGCGGCCGCCTTTGTTGGGGCCCGGCGCGGCCCAGCCGGGAAAGGCCCAACGCGGCGGCGGGCGGGGAGGGAAGAGCGGGGGTGGGGGCGGTTGCGGTGCTTCACCACCACAATAGCTGCCCGGTTATGGCTGGTGGTGCTTGGAGAGTCAGTGCGGGCACATCTCTGGTGGGTGCTGGATGTGGTGCCTCAGTGTGCCCAAGTAATGTAAGGTGTCCCCTGTAGCAAGGGTTAGGGGGGATCTGGGCCTTGCTTCACCTCACAGGTGTGTGCTGAGACCACCCAACTCAGCTTGCAGGCTGCCTTGAAAGGAGACATAAAGATGGTCATGTGTTGGTCTTAATGGCAATAAAATACATCAGTTATAGCCACAGACAGAGTTGAAGCCCTGGAGTTGTGTGCATATATATATATATATATATACATACTAATGTACGGTATAATATTTAGATTTTAGTGGGAAACAGCTATCAAATAGAGTAGATGTGCTACAATAAATATGTTTTTGCAAGGCAAGTACATTTTGGGGTTCTGGGTAGACACCTCAAAGCAGAGCCATCGGTAAAAGCACAGAAGAAGGAAAGCTGCAGCTCTCACAGCATACACTATGGTTTGGGATGAAGCAGTTGCACATCTTCTGTCTCTGAGTGCCTGAGCACTGTGGCAGTGCCCAGCTATTGCCTGGGATATTGCTGTGCCAGGAGTTTGTGTGGAAATGCAGTGGGCTCTGCCACTTGCAGTTGCTCCTGCTTCCCAGGCTCTGCAGAGAGGAAGGTTGGTCAGGCAGAGTAAGTCAACAGTGGGTCTGTGCTCAGTGACACTAGTTTTTGTTTGTTTGTTTGTTTGTTTGTTTTCTTGTGCCCATCTCTCACTGTGATGGGTTTGTGGTCTCCAGCTACCTGAGCTGGGAGTGGCACTGCCTCAGAGTGCCTTTGAGCTTTCTCCCAGTGTTTACTGGGGAGGAGAACAGCTAATTCTTCAGCCTTCTTGTGAACTGGATGGGAGAATGGATCTAGATTTGAAAATGAGCAAAACCAGATAATAAAACTTGTTGAACTATTTTTAAGCCACATCAGCTTTCCCTCCAGTACATCACAGTAGTGCTGTACCATGAAGGGAAATGTGCATATGTGGGGATGTGGCAATGGGGAATAACAGCGTGAGGAGTTGCCCTTAGTGTCCATCTCCCTAATTGTGTGTTCTGGGAAGCTGCTGAGGAGTTGCTTTGGGTCTGTGTCAAGGCTTATGTCCCCTGTGGCTCCAGGCTGGATGCTTGGCATGTTTCTCAGGTGTTTGTTTACTTGGCTGAGGGAGGCTGAGCCAGGATGTGAGATGTGAGGATGAGCCAGGATGTGTGTGAGATGAGCAGGAGCCAGGTTGTCTGTTGTCACCTGGAGAGGATGTGTTAGACAAGGCCAAGGACATCAAATATGATCTCTGTCTGCTTATGATGGTACTGGAAATGTCAGCAAGGGCTCCTTCCATCCACCTGGCCCTGAGGTGGAGCTGGGTGTCCTGTGTTGTCCTGGCCACCTGAGAGTAGGAGCCTTTCCCTTTTCTGACTGGACCCTTTCCTGTGGGGTCTCCATGGGTAAAGCCCGTGGCTGCCTGTGCCAGGGCACGGGCAGCACTTTGCCCTGTCCAGTGACTGTTCAGGAGGAGGCAGCAATGCAGCTTCTTCCTGGGGGGAGGCAGGGGAGTAATCCTGTAGAGTTGGGGGCGTGCAGGGCTTGCTGCTCAGGGAGCGGCTATCTCACATGGAGAAGGAGGAGGGCCAGGGCAGCTGCTGGCCGGAGACTGCTGCCACCTCCCCTGAGCACTTGCACGTCCAGTTTCATAATCGGATTAAGGCAGTGGTATTAGAGGAGGGATGGGTCAGTGGGACAGGTTTACACCGGGGCTTACACGGAGGGGATTGGAGTGTATTTTTTAACCCTGCTCGGGCTGACCTGTGGAGCGGATGCAGCTCCGCAAGGCAAAACCCGCGGGAAGATGGGGGGAAAAGTGGGACCAGGCGGGGATGTGCCGGGGAGGAGAGCAGCCCCAGGCCGGCTGGGGGATGGGATCCGGCCGCCCCTCCCCCCGGGAAGGCAGCCCTGCTCAGGCCTTGCAGTAAATTTGCTCTAATTACAGCCTCCAGCAGTGGGAAACCTCACTTAGAGGAAAGGCTCCTCTGGGGTGGGGGTGGGGGCGCTTCCCAGCTTTCCCAGGCAGGCTCTGTTGTCTGAGGCCTCCGCTTCCCCTGCCGCTGGGAGGCCCCTTATTCCTCTCCCCTCTCCAGCTTTGCTTCTCTGCCCCCCTTTGATTCTCCTCTCCTTTGAGGCCGGGATTTGGGAACAATGCCCTCCCTACTCCTTGGCCCCCGGCTGGAGCCGCAGGCAAACAATCGGGGTCGGTTGCTGCCAGGGGCTGGGCCGAGAGGGCTCAGCTCAGCAGCACCTGCCCCGGGCTGGTGGGGGAACCAGGACCATGCTGACTGTGGCTTGGGGAAGTGCCTGGTGTGGTAACTTATGTATCGTGCATATGTGTGCACACCCTTCTTGGGTGACAGGATGTTTCATCTTGAATCCCTCAGGTTTGGGGAGGCCAGGGAAACTCTGAACAATTGTGCTGGAGGATGCTCGTTGCAGCAGTAATAATCTGACTGCAGCCATTCTCTTTGCAGGTGGATGATGCGATGCTGATGTTTGACAAGACAACCAACCGACACCGAGGTGAGAACTGTCTTCTGGCCCTGGGAGAGGTTACTGCAGAGGGTTTGCCTCCTGCCTTGCCTAGGGAGGGGTTGGTATCCCAGCAGCAGGAGATGCGGGTCGCAGCTGCTCTTTATCTTGCCTCCAGTCGCCCCATTCTTTTGGATCTGCATCCTTTACCAGTGGCCCTCTCAGCACAGAGAGCTTTTGTCCAGTGCGTTTCCTGTGCTGTAAACTCGTCGAGTTGCAGATATGTGAGAGGAGATGGCCCCCTCCTCTGCTCACCTCCGTGGCTCCAGACCGCAGTGTGTGTCTTACCTTGTCCCGAGTAATCTGAGCTCTGGGAAAGCTGACACGAGAGCCTGAAGAGTGCCTGCTTCTCGCCCCTTCCTCGGCCTGGAGCCCACTTGTGCTCCCAGGTCACCTTTTCTTACCCGAGTCCTGCTGATGGAGTCTGGTTACAGGATGGGAGCAAGGCTGTACTATTTGTGCTATAGGGACCCAGCCCATCCATGGGCGTCCCTGCCTTCCTGGTGAGTCCTCAGACCGACTACCTGGTGGTGTGGTGGGGCTTGACTCTTGCGTTCAGCTTGGAGATTTAATGGCAACAACTTGACCTGCAAACTTAGCTTCAGCCTCTTCCCAGTCAGGGTCAGTAACAGCCCAGTGCTGGCTGCTCTCCTGTGTGTTGTTTGAAGCACTTCCAAGCACTCCTGCCCCCAGAGCAGCAAGGGAACTCTCCCTTCTGCTCTAGCTACACTCTGTGCCCTTCAAATTTTTACTTTTTTCTAAAGCCATTAAATTTACTCTGACTGCCAGGCCTCGGCAGTCCTAGGATGCTGTTCCAGCTTCATTTTGAAAGGGAAGAAGCATTAACCCCTGTTCCTCCATGGGTGCCTTCCAGTCACTGGTCCAATTAGAGCTGCTGGGCATTTTGGGAGGCAGCAGGGAGAGCTGCCAGCCACTGTGTCAACAGCGAGTGGCTCAGCCCAGGGCATGAAAAAAAACCTTATGGGGGTTTAATGGGGCTCAAGATTGCTTTTGACATCAGGGTTTTTCTGCTGAATTCCTGAGCTCCTGTGCTTGTGAGTGTTGAGGTGAGTGATGTGAATCTACCTGGGCACAGACAGATGGAGGAGTTTATAGTGAGATGTTTCTGGCAGTGTGGAGAAGAGGTGGGGTTCTAGGCAGTGGATTCCCATCTGCTTTTAAATGTTATTTTACAGTGCCATGGAATTGGCCAGCTCTGGAAAGCGGAAAGTTCTGCTTAATCCCAGCTTGCTTGCAAAGCAAGCTTTAAGACATCCTCCCACCTGCCTCAGTTCTCCGGAAACGGTTGCAGTCAGCTTAGAGGAGTTCAGTCTGCCCACCCGAGCTGGGCTTTGCCAAAACTGTCAGCAAAGGGGCTGGTGAGAGAAAGGAGGTGTGAGTGTGGGCCAGGGGCCAGGAACACGCTGTCCTGTCTTACCCCAGATACAAACCTTACTTTGGTGAAACTTTGCAAATGACTGCCTGTATCTGCCTTGCTGTGTGCAGCTGCACTGCTGATCTGTGCCTGCTCACACGAGGCTTTATGGCCAGTGCCTGTGAGGGAGGGAGCTGCAGGGTGTTCCTGCTGGTGGGATGCGTTTAGCGAGGGTGGTGATGTCCTGGCAAACAGCTGTTGGTTTCCCCACCGATTCTTTGTGTGAGCATCTGCCCAGATCCTCCCCAGTGTTACCAGCCATGTGGTTTGCCTTGCAAATAGCAAAGTTTAAAAAAAACAACAAACCTGGGTTTGAGACCAGTTGGGTTCAGAGTGGGTGGGAAGTACAGGATGAGTAGGAGAGGAGAATCTATAAGAGGACAGTCCTCTTCTTGTGCATAAAAGTAGAATTTGCTGGAGAGAGAAGATGAGTGACAGCTGTTTTCGAAAGGGCTGATTGTACTGTGCTCTTCTCCTGCCAATAAAAGGCTGTGAGTAGAGGGTTCAAACTGTGAGAGGTCTGACCTGATCAGGGAGTTTTGCTTTTTCTTCAGGATTTGGGTTTGTCACATTTGAAAGTGAAGACATTGTGGAAAAAGTATGTGAAATCCACTTCCATGAGATCAACAACAAAATGGTAAGTGTCTGGGGCAGAACATGGGGGAGCAGGGACAGAGTTGTGGGAGAGAGCAGGGCAGTGGCACAGGGGCAGGATGCAAGGCTCTTGGGTCCATGCATCTTCTTTGCAGTGGGGAATCAGATTCAGTTTTTTTCCCCAAAAATCACAGCAGTCAATCTGGGGAAGAAACTCACTTTATGGAGGTGAACAAGCATAATACTTTATTCTGAAGGAGAGCTAACTAAGCAAGGCATTGTGCTGTGCTTGGAGGTTTTGAAGTTACACAAAACCTTGTAGTGGCCTGGAAGGGGGCAGGTTTTCCCTTTATTCAGAAATGAGGAAACTTACGCTTTGGGGCTCTGGTGCAGGGTCAGGTAGAGCATCAAGGGCAACACCAGGAGGAGAACAGCAATGTTTGAGCTCCCCGTTGCCTGTGGTGGCTGCAGAGCAAGAGGGAAGGCTGGCACCAGGGGGACTGGGGACAGCGGTGCCGGGGAAGGGCAGCGGAGCAGGCTGACGGAGGTGGCTGGAGCTGGGACGTGCTGTCACGCAGGCAGCCCTGCCTGGCCTGCCTGTGCTCTGTGGCCGTGTCCTGTGACGACAGCCTGTGATCCAGCCTGTGACAGGCGAGCCTGATCCTTACTTTCTTGTGGCAGGTGGAGTGTAAAAAAGCTCAGCCGAAGGAGGTGATGTCCCCAACGGGCTCTGCACGAGGGCGATCCCGAGTAATGCCTTACGGGATGGATGCCTTCATGCTGGGGATCGGCATGCTGGGTAAGCCCCCGGCAGCTCTGCCGCTCTCCCCCCGCTCCCGGCCGTGCCAGGCAGCAGCTTAGAGGTTTATTCCGGGAGCGGCGAGGCGGCCAAGGGCAGCGCTCCCTGTGCGGGGCCGCCAAGGGCAGCGCTCCCCGTGCGGGGCCGCCGGGACCTGTTCGCGATCCCAACTTGCCCTCTGGTGGCACCTGGAAAAACTGCAAATGTGCCACCGCTGCCCTGCGACAGCCGGGCCGGCTGGGCACAGCCCCTGCGGGGCGGTTCTGCCCCTCGGCAGCTCCTCCACGGTCCCGCAGTGCCGTGGCACATGCACAGCAATTCCTTCATGTGGAATAGGATAACTGCAGAGCTGAGTGTGGAGTAATCTGTACCCAGGCATCTTCCCCTCTCCACTTCTACAGGCTTTCTGATGAATTAGTTCATTAAAGAGCCCCTAAGCTTCCACTTGAAACAGTGGTTTGTGTAAATGTCCCCACTGCCACTTAAAGACTGTTAAAATGCCCTTGAAGTTATAGCTGAGTATTGTCTCACTGTTCCCTCCCTCTCAGGTACAGCAAATATCTGGTATTGCAGGGAAAGCTATATATTTATCACGGGACTGTCTTGTAAGGAGAAGTTGGTGACAAGCAGGCTGGGTTTCATGTCTACCAATGCTCCCAAGGCAAAAGCATTCAGATAAAAATTGAAACAAAAACAAAAAAAAAAAGTCATTTGTAGCCCTATCTTCCAAGTCCACAAAACCTCATGCCTAGATCTGAGAAGTCAGCATGATCATTCCAGTGTGGGTGCTGGTCCTGGCTTGTCTCTCTTCTCACTTTCATTGGAGCCAGGACTGAGCTGACCCAAGAGCACTGTTTGCTCAGGATCATTGCTGGTGTTGCTGGGCAAGGTGTACTCAGCCTGGCTCTCAGTGCTAAGCCTGCTGAGTAGCAGTTAGTCACTGAACAAAACCCCCAAAAGGGCATTTTTCCACCAATGTTTTCACTTGACTTATTGAAGGAAAATAAATCTCCAGCCTGTGGTTTTGGGTTTTGCCTTTTCTAAGCCATCTGAATTTTAAAGCAGCAAGACTCAAACTGAGTCACTGGGAAATCCACAGACTCTTGTCTTAGGAGATCTCAAATCAAATATTCATCTGTGAGTCAATGCCCTGCATTCTCACTGGATTGTTCCTATAGGTGGTCAGCTTCCTGGGGAACAGCAGGAATTGTGCTCCTACCTGTGCCAGGAAGAAATGTTCTTTGTACCTGCATTCACCAGCCCTTCTAGTGCAAAAGTGACTCAGAGCTATTCAGCCTTTCAAATGCCCCTTCCTCCCTGATCTCCTGTTTGTAAATCCAGCTGATGCATCAGAAAGCCGTAGCCTGCAGAGCTGTGAGTCTGAGAAGGAAATCTCCATGTCTTTACGTGTTTGGAGCAAGGGAAAATTAAATGGGCCTGCTAAAACTCCTCTGCAGGCTCACACACGTTGTGCACTCTGCCCAGCGCTGTCCTGGGGCTTCTGCTGCTACCCCTCTTTCTGCTGTCTAATGCCAAAGGGTGCTCATGCTGCTCAGGAGCAGCCAGACCTTGCCAGCTCACAGTAACAGAGTCCTTTTCTCTTCCCCAGGTTATCCAGGCTTCCAAGCTGCTACCTACGCGAGTCGAAGTTACACTGGTATTGCACCTGGTTACACTTACCAGTTCCCTGGTGAGTGGAGCTCTCCCTGCTCGGTTTTTATGTCTGCCTTCAGGTGATGGGAGCCCCTGGCATGATTTATAACCCAGGCTCTGCCCCTTTTACCCTTTCCCCTGTTTGGTCTTTCTTTAAATTTGAGATGGATGTGGAAGGGGGATTGGAGAAGCCCTGGAATAGGTGGGAACAGCTTGTCCTTCATTAGGATTATCCTCACACTGCAGTGACAGGAAAAGCCCAAGGCTACTCCGACATCCTTTCTGCTGGCCTCCTCCGCAGGGCTGCTGCTGTGACACAGAAGGGCCCCACAGCTCTGCCTGTCTCACTGCCTTTGTGTGTGTCTGTCTCTCTTTACCAGAGTTGCCACCACTCTGAAAGTAGCACAGAATGTTAAATCCCCTGTGCCAGGGAACTCCTGGGCATACAAAAGGCAGGTGTCTGTAGCACTGCAGTTGTGTTCTGAACAGTGCCTCACAGCCTTCACAAAGCATCTGCTGGGCCAGGGGGCTGCAGATCTCCTGAAAACTGGGTAGTTTCAAGCTTCCAACACTGCCATGTGCTCAGAGCATGGATTCAGCAATCAATGGCTGCAACCTGCTGTGCCGCAGCTGCTCAGAGCTGCGGGGCCTCCCCTCCTGCTCTCTGCCAGGCCAGGGACTCTTAAGGGACACGCTGTGCTATTGCTATTTTCTAGAGTTGTGGCAACTCTGAGCATCCCTTCCTTACTCCATCCCTCAGTGTGATGATTGATATATGAAGTTTTGATATTAAGGGCTGGGAATGGGAAGTTTCCTCTTTGTCTGAGGTGAGCCCAGGCTGACTGGCTGAAAGTTGCTGTTGCCTCCTGGCTGCCTGGAAGCTCTCCATGAATCTAGCTGTAGTGGCTTCAAGTCCCTCATTGTAAACCTGTGCCAGGCAGAGTGTGGCACTTACTGAGCACCCACTGGCCTTGCCACTGAGAGGTCAGATTGGCCAGGTCGCAGAGCGGTGCTCCAGGGCAGACCTGAGGCTACTCAGTGACGCTTGAACTCGTCCTGCCCTGGCCACATTTATTCCAAGGATAAATGGATCCTTTCAGCCTTCAGGGCAGGAGTCCAGCACCTTTCAGCACCAGTTATAAATCAGTTTACAGAAGACACTGGCCTGGTTGCAGTCTGGTTGCAGACTGCTCCCCCAGCAGACCCCGGCTGCTGTATCTCTGGGGGTCTCCCTCGGGGCATTTGATGAGTTCCTAAGCTGTCTTGCATTTCGTTTTTAGAGTTCCGTGTAGAGCGGACCCCTCTCCCGAGTGCCCCCGTCCTCCCTGAGCTCACAGGTCAGTCCCACTCATTTCCTAAACTCACAAGCTGGAAGGGGAGAAGGGGGCTTTGGGCTGTTTCAGTGGTGTTGCTGCTCCACAGCCTGGAGAAGTTAGACTGGGAATGTGCCTTATTTCCTCTTTCATCTGAATAAGCTCCATCCAAAGCTGGGGATGGAAAGATGGAGAGGCAATCAGAGCCATCATTGCCTCTGAAGAGGGCCATGCAGGTCCTTTCTTGCTGCTTGCCTCACTTTTTAGCTCCTTGCCCCAGGCAATATATAAACCAAATATGGAAACTGCAGAGAGCAGGGTGACTTCCACAGGTGAACAAATGGCTTTAACCTGAGATGTTGCAAAGATGAAATTTGGAGTGCTGGGAGGAGGGAGAGGGTGTGAATGCACTCCTGGTTATTCTAATCCCATTTTCCTGGGTAGGAGGGGCTGCAGGGAACGCTTTCCCCACTGGGTGGTACAGCTCCCCAGCTACTCCCACACAGGCTTCCCAGGTCATAGTGAGTGTGGGGGGACCTTGCAGGACTGCAGTGCTTGTAGGGAGCTGTGGAACAAAATGGGAGCAGAGGAACGTTCTCAGTGTCCTCAAAGTGCAAATGCCCTCTGCATCCTCAGTCCCTGGGATGTGTGCAGTGTGTTCTCCCTACATGATATTCCTTCTGTCTACTCTCCCTTCCATGGCCATGTTTTCCCCAGCTCTGTCCTGTCCATGGTTTTTGTCATAGAAAAGCAGCTTTGTGTAGCACCCTGCTCCCCGTGTGCCATTTCATTTCCATGATGTTCCTCCTTCCCAGTGCTTCCTTGCCCCCACCTGTTTCAGGGTTTGAATCTCTCTGCAAAGGAGTATGGAAGACCTTCCTGAGAAGCTCTTCTCGAATTAGCAGTACAAACAGGCTTGAAAGGGAGTTTCTGTGGCACAAAACTATGTTAATCCTCAGGGACTCTGTTCGTGAGGATGCTGAGGATGGCAGCCACCAACAAACAAATTTCCCTGAGGGAAGTAGAGGAAAACTAAATCCTGTTTCCCTCATAACAAAACCCTTCCCTGACACCACGTATGCAGCTGCATAAGCACCTTTGAGCCTTCTTGTTGGCAAGCAAAGCAGATGTGGGTCCAGTTGTTTATTTACAGGTGTTTTTCTGCAAAACCCATCACATTTGTAGAGGAATGTTGGTGACTTGGTAGAAGTGTTTTTCCCTTCACATTCACCCCCAGCTGTCTTGTACCTTTTCCTAGCAGAGGTGACTCGCCCAGGGCCTGGCTGTCACTGGTGGCCAGGATATACCAGGGCTCTGCACAGTAAGAAGTTATTAATGCTGCTGTCCTGGCTGGGTGCCACGTTAGCTTACAGTCCTGAGTGTCTCACTGAAGTACCAGCTGGGGATCGTGGCATTCTTCCCTCCCCGATACGCTTACCTCCTGTTAAGCAGGCCCTGCGCAGCCGCTTGGCTGGGCCGTGGTTCCCATGGATAGGCTGGAACTGGCTCTGCGGAGGGCAGGGCCCAGCGAGCTCGAGGGCCCTTGTGCCTTAGAGTGGCTGCAGCACTCACAGGCTGCGCTTCACAGCTTGGTGAGGGGAGCCAAGAGGAGGGGATGGCACAGGCAGGGATGCACGCACGGGTGCTTTGTCACCACAACACAAACCTGGTGTCTCAGCAGATAAGACTGCAAAGGCAAGAAGGATTTTTCTTGGAAAAAGAACTGGAGCTTTTGAGATTACCTCGCCTCCTTTTCCAGTAAAACCACATTCACTCATGTGTTAGGGACTTGCAGCAGGGATGGGGCAGGAGGGTGGCTGCCAGCAGCCTTTCTTTCCCTGAACAGCATCTTTGGGGGTGATGTGAAGCAGCAACATGCCTGCATTGGCCCAGGGCCTATAATGAGCAGCTAACCTAGATAGAAGCCTCGTATGACGTTTGCTTGAAACAGGCTGGTGCCTGCTACTAAATATTCCCTCCTAAGCTAGTCTGGGTTTCAGCCTTAACGCGATTGATTTGTTCTGACCTCTTTTTATGGTGCTCTAAACAGAATCACAGTGAATTTCACATTCAAGCATGAAATGCTGACCCAGTCATTTTAAGGGCAAAGAGAAACATACTGGCTAGATGCCTCCTGCCCCGAGGGCTGAATGCCTGTGGCAGTAGAGTTGGGAATAGAACTGCTACATATAAATTAAAACTTACTGTTTTAATTAAGCCATTTTTAGTTCCTGCTCCCTAGGTATATGTTTCCTGCTTTTCTACAATGAACAATGAGGTTTTTAGCAATTCAGGAGCAAAACTCAGTGTGGGGAGAATGGTATGTCTTGAGCAAAGAAACAGGGAGAAAGAGGCTTTTAAACTGTTGTTCAAGAATATTACCAAGAGACAGAGGAGGGGCTAAGCCTCAGGATGTTAAGCTTCAGCTGCTGTCCCTGAGCTGTTGCAATTCTCCACATTTACTGCCAAAATCTGGATCTGTTGCTTCAGATTAACTGCGTCTTGCAAGCTTAGTAGTGACAGGATACATCTGAAATTGCCCACTTCTTGTTCAGCTCTTCCACACCATGTCTTTGGCTGCTCTGGGGTGTGGGCTTGACAGAGCATGGCTCGTGCATTCCCTTGGACATTGGCTGTGCAAAAGAACACTGATAAATTCAGGGCTATGCACTTCCCCGTTGTCATCCTTTAATGTCCTCTGTGATGCACTATAAGCCAATATGTATGTGTGAGCCTAGTATTTTGCAGTAGGGAATGAAGGCTCCCTTTGAGGAGCTTCTCATGTAGCCACAGTGCTCCTGAGATGCCTGTTCCTTCTTTTCCAGCAATCCCCCTCACTGCGTATGGACCGATGGCGGCAGCAGCGGCTGCAGCGGCCGTGGTGCGAGGGACAGGTAACTCCCCTTTCCTCCCCAGCACGAGCTCCTGTCACGGAGGTTTGACAAGGGGCTGCGGGAGGGGGGTGGGATGGGGTTGCATTTCTGGGATCTTGACTACGTAGTTCTGCTGCCTGCTGTAGGTTCCACCCCCAGTCGCACCGGTGGGTTTCTGGGCACCACCAGTCCCGGGCCGATGGCAGAGCTTTATGGAGCCGCCAACCAGGACTCAGGGGTCAGCAGTTACATCAGCGCTGCCAGTCCAGCCCCGAGCACCGGCTTTGGACACAGCCTAGGGGTGAGTGCTCCCCGTGCCCTCTGTGGAGGGAGGGAGATGGGGAGTGGGCTGTTCTCCACGTGGTGAGGGAGGTGAGCAGCAGCGAGCAGGTCCCTCAGCCCCGCAGTCTGTTCTCTGGTTATGAAATGCCACCCACTGCAGCGTTGGCTGTGGCACTGCTGAGCCCCAGACCAAGATGGACAGTGCAGAGTGCAGCAGCTGACTTGGAGCCCACACCCTTGGTTTCTGCTGGCTCTCCCCAATCACCACTCAAGGTCCTGATCTCCAGTCCTTTCCCTGATCCTAGCTCAGGCTTTCCAAGAGCCCATCTTGGCCCTGACACAGCATCCTGTAATGTGATGTGCTCTTTAGAGCTGGCACCTCCAACTGAGATCAGTTACTCTGTCATCTGTGCCATGGCTGAATTTGTTTTGTTAGTAATTCTTCTCCACTGTTCTTTTGTTTGAAGAGTGAGGTTTTAACTCTTTCTTCACAGGGTCCCTTGATTGCAACAGCTTTTACCAATGGGTATCACTGAAGCTGGGGACCAAGAAGGCAGGAGGTAAGAGAGCTTTGAACAGGAAAAGGTAATGGGAGAGACAAGTGAGGTTCTGAGCTGGTCCCTGTGCTCAGACTCTCAGCTGAAGCTGTGGACGTTGCTGTGAGGCTCCATGGCCTGGCCCAGTCTCTGGGAGGAGTCCTGTGGCCAGCCTGGGGCTCTCTCCTGCACCAGAGGCTTGGCAGGTTGGGTTCCTACTGAACACTCCCCAGGCTAGGAACAGAGAGTGTCTTAGTGTCTGGCACAAAGAGGAAGAAAACGAAGCACTCACAAAAAGAGAAAACATTTGTGGGGTTGACCAGAGTCACAACCCAGTGGTGATCTGGACAGACAAGCTTGGCTTTTCTGTGTAACTGGTGAAGCCTCCACCATGCAGCTGATTGTTCTCACTGCTACTGAGACCAGTCCTGGGAAGTAAGGTTTTTCATCTCCTTCCTGGGAGAAGGGCAGAAGGAAAATCTTGTCACTTCTGGTTTTGGTCCTTGGATGGGCTGAGAGGGAACTGGTGGGTAGTCTTTATTTGCTTTGCAAATGTGATTGAAGTTAGCTGGATTAAATTTAAAATAAAAAAAGTCAATAACCAGCTTTTCAAAAAGGAGAGAAAAAACTAGAGGGAACAGAGTCCACAGACAGGAGCCCACAGCAGCCTAGCAGGACTGGACTGATGTGGGTGCTGGGGAAATGGCTGGACTTCAGGCCACATGGTGTGTGGGACCTTGTTTCCCAGGCCTGCACGTTGCCATTGAAGATGGAAACATCCCTGCTGTGGCCTGTCCCTATGCCAGCAGTGTGCAGAGCAAGACTGTGTTGGGGCAAAGTTTGAGTATTGAGTGTTTCTGTCAGATCACACTGGAAGAAAACCCCAGGAGGAAAAGCTGTGGTTGTTCTAGATCCTGTCCCTTCCCTCCCCTGCTGTGTCCCACAGATTCCCCAGTGACCTAACCGAGGACAGCGAGTGGCTGGAGGATCTGGTGAGCCTCGGGGGATGAGCCAAGGTTACCTTTCTCTTGAATCAAACTGCACACTGCCGGCTGGCTGCCAGGCTCCTGCCGCCCTGCCCGATCTCTCCCTTTGACCAGACCACACTGGACTGAACCCGAGGAGATCATCTCGCTTTCCTACTAACCACCGACGGTTTACGCTTCCCCCTCCCTGCTCCCAGCCCACTGATTCTTCTTTTATTTATTTTATTAGCTGTTAGTTTTATTTTTTTATTTTATTTTTTTATCTTTTTTGGGGGCTGCCCCTTCTTTTTGTTGTTTGCTCTTTCCCGAGCTAGTAGACATATTTTATGAATTGGCTTTGTGATTGTGTTAGGTAGTTTTCATTGAGGAGTATTTTTATTTGGCTTTGAAACTGTTTTGAATATTTTCAACTCTGTTGTTGTCGTCAGTGTTTTTAAAGCACGGTATGTAACAAGAATGCAGTTCTGAAGGGAAGAAAGAGACAGAGAGAGAGCAAAGGCTGAGAGGAACTGCTGTATTTCTATTTTTTTTAAAGAAACTGTTTTTAATTGTTTCTGTTTTGTAAATGTGAGGCTTTGAAAAGTGTGAAACTCCAAGGATCCGAAAACGTTGGACATCGCTATGGAACAAAACAAATGTATATTTTGCTAAGTGAAAAACACTATCCTTACAGCTGAAAGATTTTTTTTTTCCTAGGTTTAGTTTTATGTGGGGTTTTCTTTTTCCTCCTGTATAATATGTAAATATCGTGAGCTGAACCTGGCTGCTGCCTGCAGCCTGGCTTCAAGGAGCAGCTCCAGGTCCTGGACTTGGTGCCGCAGCGTGAGCAATACTCTCCAGCAGAATCCTGACAGGACTTCGTTCTTTTTTTGTACACCTTTTACTGTAAGATTTTAAGACCTCTGATGAGATGAGATGAAAATATTCAAAACAGTTTCAAAGCCAAATAAAAATACTCCTCAATGAAAACTACCTAACACAATCACAAAGCCAATT